GGCTGCTGCTCCATCTCCACGGGGACGGCCGTGGGCATCCTCTGGATACGCAGGGAGGGCTCTAGCTCGCACAGCGGACGCGCCTCCGCCGGGGGCAAGGTGTCGAGGCCCGAGGTCCCGAGAACCTCCTGCATCCAGTCACTCATCTGGGTCGGGCTTAGGCCACCGGCGGCTGCATGCGCAAGAAGACGTTTTAATTATTAGGAAGAAGAATGACCTGTTATTGAAACTTAATGATGTACGTACGCATGAAAATATTGTTTCCACAAAAATGATGCATTACAACCTTTGTATATGCCAGAAGAAACTTAATGATATAGGAGTACTCATGAACCAAATGCAACCGCTGTTCCACAGTTAACTATACCAAGGGCAATCATATCTATTCGGACTCGTGTGTATATAGCGATCTTGCCTAAGGAGGAGGTAGCCAGTAGTAGCTGGCGGTGGCTCGCCGTGGAGACGATCGAACTGACATGAAAATAAGGGAGAGGCTGCATGCTTAATTACCTTGGGGGAAAGTCCGTGTGTCGTCGTCCTCTCCGACGTACAAATACGCCAGGCGCGACCGATTTCGAAGCGGCGACAGCCGGCGCTTGATGGCGTCCGCCAACACCATAGCCCCGGTGAGCCCATGTTGCCGGAGCTCCGCCACACACTCCTGGAGCGCAGCTACGTGAGGGGTGTGGCGGGGCAGTGTTTGCCACGTGTCGGCGCTCACAGCAGGCTCCGACGGAACGGACGTCTCCTCGTGGCCGCCGTGGTCCTCTATGTACACCCACTTATCCTTCCATTGTTGGGGTACGTGCGTCTGGACGTAGATGAACTTTGGGGTATTTTGCTTTCTGCGAGGTCGGAAATGGCAGCTGCCGATTGTTGAGTTCCCGCGGCAAATGTAGTAGCTCCTGAAGAGGTCGAGCGAAGGCGGCACCCCCAGGAACTGCTCGCAGAGGTAGGCGAAGACGGAGAGGATGACGAGGGAGTTGGGCGTGAGGTGGGCCAGCCGGATGCCGTAGTACCGCAGCACGTCGAGGAGGAAGGCCGAGTACGGCGGCACCGCTCCGGCGAGCACGAACGATTGGAATGTGAGGCTCATGCCGTGCTGCGGGTTCGGCTGTAGGCGCAGGGCATTGGCCCCGGTTTCCGGGACGTGAGCGCGGAGAGTGGAGATGTGGGCCTTGGAATGTAGACAGAGTCGGACCATGGCAGCAGGCAGGAAGAGATGGAGTCGTGTGCGTGCGGCCGCAGTTGGGCCGCAGGCGTTCAAAAACGGACAAACAATAATATTGCAAACAGGGTACATAAACAGCTGCGAAAACAGCATTTTATTTGGTGCTGAGGAATGGTTCTAGTCGAATCTTCTTTGTTTCTTTTTGTTTTGCGTAGGAGTGCTGATCGAGTACTACTAGGTCATGTTTAAAACAGTCCAGCTGCAGGTGCGGCTACAGCGGCACTGCACCAACACCAAGAAACAATGTCCAGCTGCAGCTGGACTGTTTGGAGTAGTACTCCGTACGTATGTTTGTTTGAGCCTTGTCCAGTTGTCCAGCTAGCTTATCAATCGCTTTCGCATCCGGAACCGGCGGTAATCATGCATGGAACGGGATGGATGGATGGTCCACGACAAGAGGCAAGAGCGGCTGCGGGCCGGCAGCAAGGAGAAGGACCGGCGAAACCAAAGCGGCCGGCCGGCCAGGATATTGGTTGTGTATATATACGTGACTACAATGGACGACAAATACGATTGCATTGCCAGACGCTAGTGCCGACGGGCGGCGGCGGGCTCACAGTCCGGCCGGTCCCGGACCAGCTGGACCAGACAGCGCCTCGCCCTCAGACCCTACGCTCCGCTATGCTCCCTCCCACGGTTGGGCAGCACTTTTGATGTTCACGTAAACATCACACAACTTGTCAGAGAAAACGCTAAAGACACATCCGACGAAAATCGTCGTAGCAGCGGTGAACTCCTACACCTCTTTCTCAGATGCGAGAGGTAGCACGGGAGAATTACTCACGACCCAAAACACCCCCATAGCCAAGAGCCACAGCTAGGCTCTAGTCTGCCATCTCTTGAAATTCACACCAGTGAACTCCTCCGGTTTCATCGCATCAAAATATCGAGCCATCACTAAATACCTATCAGGTTTTTGGATTGTTGGAAATAATAGCAATTTAGTGACGCATGCATTAATTTCAATAATGAGGAAAAGAACAATAACATGTATCATATGTGTGTGGTTTAACACTAGCACTACGATACGAGACAAGCTCAAACTCCCTAGTGCTAGTAACAGAAGGAATGCTAGAGCGAACAACAACGAAATTGTAGACACCCTCACATTGGGGTTGTTGGCGCTAGAGATAACGCAAAAGTAGACGAAAGCAGACCGTTGATGGAGATCCACGAACACCGGCGTAGAGGGAAGAAGACGTCCAGCGAGCAGCCGTGATGGCGCTTTCCAAAAACCTAATACGGCCCCTACCCCGTGCAGGGACACAAGGTGACGTAGGCTTCAGAGACCTGCTCTCTCGGCGCCGATGACACGTCGACGACGAGATGGGGAAGACGACGACGGCGTAGCACAGTGGCGAGAGGAGGAGATGAATTGTGTGTACTGAGGACGACGTCTCGTCCCAATATATACAGTGTCGTAGCTATGGTAAGTAGTTAGTCGCGCAATCACATCATTAACGTGATTGACCCGCCGTTAGTCAACTAGAGCAATCTCCATTAGTGCGAGAATAATTGCTAATCAAAATAGGACATCGTAATTTTCTCCATGCATGCAAAAAAATAGAGTGGCAAAGGAAGCCGCCCACCTGCAAGATCGAAGCGAGAAATCGCCGACCATTCACGTGCATGTCGCGCGCCCACACCTATAAGCATGTGCGTGTGTTTCTTTCTTTTCCTCTCCCCAATAGCTTCAATTAGATGGAGACAGTACAACTATTTAAATTGGCCTCACTCCTTTAGAGTAGCAATGTGGGACTAAAGTCTCCCACCATACCATGCATGTGTGAGTAAGCCTTTGGGATTTATTTGGAATTATTATTTGGGCCAGCCCAAATCTTCTAACAAGATACGGCTGCACCCGCTCCAACTGAAATCCGGGTGGATTTAAGGTCCCGTTTGGTTGAGCTCCCAGCGGCTCAAGCTTCTCTGACGTATGCACTGTTCACGCACTATCTATAGGACCTCTTTTTTTTCTCTTCTCTCCCCTGTTTGTATAACGCAGGCATGCTCCTGTTATTTTCGTAAATGCATTTTGCTAATCTTTGGTGGCATGGTGAAGTAATTTTTTTAGTGGCACTCTTGCAGTTTATGTATGGACTTCGGAGAGTATAGGTGCATAGCAAATAATTCATGGATGTATATTACTAGCTTGGCTTGATAGGGCGCGCTTTGCTGCGCGGGCAGCGGGAGGAGCGCAAACAGCGTGGGAGAACAGAGAAAAGCAAAAAAAAAAAGAAGGGACGAACAGTATTGCAAACAGGGTACACAAACAGTGCTGAATAGTGCTTGATAGCCTGCGAAAACAAGCATTTTATTTGGTGCTGAGGAAGTATAGATTATTATTCATGTATTGGGAATTTGACATTTTTGCTTCTGGAGGCCATGGTTCTGGTCGAATTTCTCTCTCTCTGTTTTTTTTATGTGTGTGTGCATAGGAATGATTAGTAGGTCATGTTTGAAACGACTGCAGGTACGGCTACAGCTGCAGCTGCACCAGCACCGAGGAACGTTGGCCGGTTTAGTACGAGAGAAAAATACTGTTCTGGCTGGAAATTTACGATCGTTTACGACCAAACGAACAGGCCGGCGGCAAGCAAGAAGTTGAAGCGAATTAAAGCCAGCTTGTTTGGATAGAATCTGAGGTTCTCTAGGTTCCATCAGCCTTGTTTGGAGTAGTATGTTTGTTTGAACCCTACCAAGATTTTAGAAAGCTACCTTATAAATCTCCTAGGGTCCAAATTAAATTGAACATGATGTAATCCATTCATTGGCCCCGTTCGCTTCGCTGAAAAAACAAGTTGAAACACTGCTTCGGATGATTTGTTGTGAGAGGAAAACATTGTTCCGACTGAAAAAATAAGCTGAAAAGTACAGATTATAAGATAAGCGAACATGATCAATATATGCTTACGTGTCTCCAACAAATTAAAGACTGTAATCATGCATGGAACGGGATGGATGGTCCACGACAAGAGCGGCTGCGGGCCGGCAGCAAGTGCCCTGTTCGTTTGGTTGATAAGCCATGACTAAAAGTACTGTTGACTAATTTATTGTGATAGAAAAATACTATTCATTAAACAAGTATGACTTATAAGCAAGCTAACCAACGAAGGACCGGCGAAACCAAAGTGGCCGGCCGGCCAGGATTTTGGTTGAATATATACGTGTCTACAACGTACGACAAATACGATTGCATTGTCAGACGGTGCTTTTCTAGTGCCGACGGGCGGCGGCGGGTTCACAGTCCGGCCGGCCGGCCGGCCGGCCCCGGACCAGCCGGACCAGACAGTACCTCGATCGCCGTCGGACCCTACGCTCCGCTCCGCTCCGTCCATCGTTACGCGAATGGGGCACCGTGGTTGCCGCGGCGGCCCGCGGCTACATACGCTACCACGTCAATTCGTCTGGCCGGCCCTAGCGGGGAATGGCTGAAAAAAAAATATTTTGTCAGTATTTGTATCTCGTAATAATATATATAGAGATTTCTCAAAAAAATATTAATATATAGAGATATTTACCTATATGGCTCTCAAAATAATGCATCTTCTTACCTGTTTTCATGGTCTGTTTTTTTCGAACTTACCTGTAAAGCCCAAAAACGAAATTATCTTACCTGTATGGCCTTTCGTCCGTTTTTAATATTTGACGGTGTTAAGTTAACGGTAAAATGACCATTTTACCCCTGGTGGAAAAAATAAAATACAGTTTAGTTTGTCTTTTTAGATTTGGAGTAATATTATGCGAATAAGGTCACGTTGGAAGATTTCTATCCTGGCTGATTCTTCTTGCCCTTGCGGTTCTTGCACTTCTTAGCAAATTGCCCAGTCTCACCGCAAACGAAACACACAACCTCGTCCATGTTCATCTTCTTCTTCTTGAAATGAGTAGTCTGAATAGCCTTGTGCTTGTTCTTTCCAGCTTGCCGCATCATATTGGCACGGGACTGCCCTTTGGGTGCTCTTGGTGGAGCCTCCTTTGCCCAAGCCTTCTCTTCAACATCAAGACTGGCCAACAAATCTTCAACGGAGATTTTGTCTTTTCTTTTCAGAACTGTGGCAAAGTTCCTTCATGACGAAGGCAACTTGGCAATAATGCCACCCGCCACAAACTTATCAGGCAAGACGTGTCCAAGCTGTTCGAGCTCCCTCACAATAAGTTGGAGCTCATGAGCCTATTCCACGACAGAATGGTTATCAACCATGTTGAAGATGTGGTACTGCTCCATCACATACAACTCGCGCCCAGCGTCAGAGGCAGAGAACTTGTGTTCAAGCGCCTCCCAAAGTTCAGTAGCACTTTTGTTGTTTATGTAAACATCACACAGCTGGTCAGAGATAACGCTAAGGACGCATCCGATGAAAATTGTTGTAGCCGCGTAAACTCCTGCACCTCTTTCTCAGATTCGAGAGGTAGTGCGGGAGGATTACTCACGAAAGAAAACATGCCCATAGCCGAGAGCCACAGCTGGGCTCTCGTCTGCCGTCTCTTAAAATTCACACCAATGAACTTCTCCGGTTTCATCGCATCAGATTATCCGCCCGTCACTAAATGCCAATAAGGATTTTGGATTTTTGAAAATAATAGCAATTTAGTGACGCATAAATTAATTTCAATAATGAGGAAAAGAACAACAACATGTATCATAGGTGTGTGATTTAACACTAGCACTACGATCCAAGGCAAACTCATACTCCCTATAGTGCTAGTAACAGAAGGAGTGCTAGAACGAACAACAACGAAATTGTAGACATCCTTACAGTGGGGTTGTCGGTGCTAGAGATAGCGCAAAAGTAGATGAAGCAGACCGCCAATAGAGATCCACGAACACCGACGTAGAGGGAAGAAGACGTCCAGTGAGTAGTCGCTACGGCGCTTCCCAAAAACCTGATACGGCGCCTACCCTGCGCAGGGACACGAGGGAACGTAGGCTTCAGAGACTTGCTCTCCCGATGCCGATGACACGTCGGCAACGGGATGGGGAAGACAGCGGCGGCACACCATAGTGGCAAGAGGAAGAGATGAATTGTGTATACTGAGGATGACGTCTCATCCCACTATATATACAAGTCGCAACTATGGTAAATAATTAGTCGCGCAATCATAGCATTAACGTGGTTGACCTGCCGTTAGTCGACTAGAGCAATTATAGCAATCACCATTAATGCGAGAATAATTGCTAACCAAAATAGTACAGCGCAATTTTCTCCATAGATGTAAAAATATAGAATGGCAAAAGGAAGTCGCGCACCCACAAGATCGAAGCGGGAAATCGCCGGACCATATTCACACGCATGTCACGTGCCCATGCCCATCGCCCTGCCCGGCCCGACAAGGCGTGGCGAGCAATCGCACGCGTGTGTTTCTTCCTTTTCCTCTCCCTAATAGCTTCAAGTAGTTGGAGACAACTCAACATTTAGGTTGGCCTCACTCCTTCTATAGTAGTAATGTTGGATTAAAATCCCCCATCATACCATGCATATGTGAGTGGGCTTTTGGGATTTATTTCGAATTATTATTTAGGCTAGCCCAAATCTTCTATCAGGATATGGCTGCACCCGCACCAACTGAAATCCTTGTGGAATTAAGGTCCCGTTTGGTAGAGCTCCAAGCGGCTTCAGGCTCTCTAACGCATGCACTGTTCTCACACTATTTATATGAGCTCTTTTTCTCCCTCTCTCCTCTCTCCCTGCTTGTACAACACATGCATGCTCCTGTTATTTAATGTTTGGTGGCCAGGTGAGCTTGGAGCCTGTTTAGTTCCCAAAAATTTTCAAGATTCACATCGAATCTTTGGACGCATGCATGAAACATTAAATATAAATAAAAAATAAAACTAATTACACAGTTTAGACGAAATTCATGAGACGAATCTTTTAAGTCTAATTAGACTATGATTGGACACTAATTATCAAATAACAACGAAAGTGCTACAGTACAATTTTCAAAAAAAATCGCCAACTAAACCACCCCTTGGTAATTTTTTGAGTGGTACTCTTGCAGTTTCTGCATGGACTTTGGAGAGTATAGGTGCATAGCAAATAAGCCCTTGTTTAGTTCCACCCCAATTTCTAAAAAGTTGCTACAGTACCTGTCACATCGAATGTTTACGGTCCGTGCATGGAGCATTAAATGTAGACGAAAAGAAAAACTAATTGCACAGTTTGGTGGGAAATTGCGAGACGAACGTTTTGAGCCTAATTAGTCCATGTTTGAACACTATTTGCCAAATAAAAACGAAGGTGCTACAGCAGCCCCAAAATCCAAATTTCGCGAACTAAACAAGGGCTAATTCATGGATGTATATTACTAGCTTGATGGGACGCGCTTTGCTGCACCGGCAACGGGAGGAGCGCAAACAGCGTGGGAGAACAGAGAAAAGAAAAAAAACGGACAAAAGTATTGCAGACGGGGTACACAAACAGTGCTGAATAGTGCTTGATAGCATGGTAAAGCAGCATTTTATTTGGTGTTGAGAAAGAATAGATTACTATTCCTGTATTGGGAATTTGGCATTTTTGCTTCTGGAGGCCATGGTTCTGGTCGAATCTTCTTGTTCTTTTTTTTTTGTAGGACTGTTAGTAGGTCATGTTTGAAACAGTCCAACTGCAGGCTACAGCTGCTCTGCACCAGCACCAAGGAACACGGGGTGTTCGATTAGTATTAAAGCCGACTGATAAGCCGTATAAAACTGATTTATTGTGAAAGAAAAATACTGTAGATTCTGGCTGATAAATTCAAGCAAATAAACCCTTATTAATTGAATTAGCGGCAAGGAAGAATTGAAGCGAATTAAAGCCAGCTTGTTTGGATAGAATCTGAGGTTCTCTAGATTCCACCAGACTTGTGTTGGAGTAGTATGTTTGTTTCAGCCCTACCATGGGACGGGATGGATGGTCCACGACAAGAGCGGCTGCGCGCCGGCAGCAAGGAGAAGCACCGGCGAAACCAAAGCGGCCGGCCGGCCCGGGTTTTTTTTTTTTTTTTTAAAGGGCCGGCCGGGATATTGGTTGTATATAGACGTGACTACAGTGGACGACAGGTCCTGGAACAAAAACGATTGCATTGCAGACGGTGCATTCCTAGTGCCGACGGGCGGCGGCGGGCTCACAGTCCGGCCAGCCGGCCCCGGATCAGCTGGACCAGACAACGCCTCGCCGTCGGACGCTCCGCTCCGTCCCTAGTAACGCGAACGGGCCACGCGCGGTGGTTGCCGCAGCGGCCCGCGGCGGCTACCGCGTCATATATATATATATATATATATATATGTATTCTATATTATACCTGGGTACCGAATATTAATTTAGTACCCGAGCCTCCCACCGCACGCCTGGCTCACCGTCCTCCGCAGACTCAGGCACCTACGTCAAGGGGTTTGGGGCAGCCTTCCGGCTCAGCCACCCGGCCCGCCCTTTCGATGACCCAGCCCGGCCTTTCGATGACCCGGCCCGGCTCGCAGTCAGATTTTGGAACCGCTCCCCAACCCATTGCCCACGTTCTCTGCGGTTCAATTCCAATCAGCTCGCGTTTCACCAAAAAAAAAAACAGCTCGCTCCGTCCGCAACCCTACCGGCGCCGCGCCCCTGACCCCTCTGGCGCGGCACCACCCTGCACCCATCGGCGCCACCCCTCACCCCTCCGGAGGCAGGTCGCAAGGTGTTGACAAAGCAGACTTGCAAGGTTGGGGCTGGGTCCGCGAGGCGCAGGTGCCGGGACTGACCTTGGCGATCTGGTCCAATGTCGGTGAGGCCAAGCAGCCAGACATTCATGTGGCCTGCTGGGGAGCGTGGAGCCCGATGAGATCCAACCACAGCTATCACAGCCATGGCTCCTGCAGTGCTGGTGGCACACAGGTATTCCATTCTGTCCCCCCCCCCCCCGCATCTTCATCTGACATCGTCGCGTCCTGCAACTCTCCCATGATCCAGATCCATATGCTGAGGCACCCCTCTCCATCTAGACTGGGTAGACATCAAGTCTTCGGAAATTATCTCTTCCCCTCATCTTTTAAATATGGTCTCGATTAGTCATTTGTGGCAATCCTATTGGTCTTACCCAATGGTAATTTCTCATAATTTTGTTCTTGTTCAGTCATAGGTGAAGGCGGTCATGGTGGCTTTGCGGAAGGGCTCGATAGACTGTCTGTTCTTACTGTAGTGCCGCCTGCACATTCAGAATTGAAGTGGGACAAACATAGAGCTTCTAATTTTCGCATTATCAGCTGATTTTCCAAAGCCACTACGCTACAGAATAGGATTGAGAAAGTAATCACAAGACTCTTTAATTCTTATCAGTGTCTGATATTGATTCCTGTTGCAGCATGTTCACTTGGGTTTCTATTTTGTTTAGTGATTTTGTGGACACTTATTTATCGTTTTTGGTGGACACATTTTTCTAATCAGGCAAGCTCAAATGAACTAGAAGATTTTGTGGCAGCATGGCATAGAATGCATGAACCATAGGTGAGATTCCAGGTATAATTGAGGGATTTCATAAAATACCTTTTTGATCATACATCACTACTTGATTTCAGTCTCGAATTATCCAGACCAGATTGTACGGTAGTAAATAGCAAGTCTCTTGGATGCTCCGTGTTTGTGTGAATGTTACTATATTGAGTTCTCTCACATAGCTGGTTCAAGAATGAGTTTTTTTAACAGTATCAGATTGCTTCTACTATTAAATTGCCTGATTAGAAAAATAAATTCGCAAGTTATCAACATATCTGCTTTCAGTACGCGATTCCATCTTGTATAGCCATCTGTTAGTTGGTATCTTTCCCGTTATTCTGTATTTTCATTTTACATGCCATGGCCTGAAAGTGGGGACAAATACTTTTGTATGTTCTGCTAGTTTGTGAAGCTGCAACTGCAATGTTGTGCCACTAGGTTTGTAAGCTGTCATCCCCAGCAAAATGTTTAAACTCACATTTGC